AGGCTAGAGGTTCAAACCCACCAGCTGCTCCTCGGAAGGAAGATGGGGCAATCTACTTCCATAGTGATACTGCCTTGGAAACCCAAGGAGGGGTTGCTATGAGTCAGGTCCAACTCAATGGCATATAACTACAACAACAACAATATATAAAAAAGCACATAAAGGACACAGTACAGAGATCTCCTAGACATACACAAACACACTGTGGGATTGGTTAACTTAGTTAAAAGCCTTGGGACCATGGTCTCATGAGACAATGAGGTCAACGACATAACATAGTTCATAAAGACAATGTTGTATATCCTAGACTTGTGGGTAGAGTCTGGGTCTTACAAGCTTGTAAGTAGCCATCTGAGATAGAACTATTTATTTCTTCTCATCTGGAGCAAAAAAGAATGAAGGAAACAAAAGAGCCGAAGAAGAAACTAGCTCACAGTACAGGTCTAATGGCTCACCTGAACTGCAGCCTCTTCTAGCCTGAGACCAGAAGAACTAGATGGTGCCCAGCTACCACCATCAAGTGTTCTCACCAGGGACACAATAGGAAGTCCCAAATAGAATGGGAGACAAATGTAGACCAGAACTCAAATTCCTAAAGCAGACCAGACATACTGGACTGATAGAGATCAGATAAATCCCCAAGACTATCACCCTAAGACACGCTTCTCCCACCTCGGGGAGAAGCCACTCCTGGATGTCTCCTTTCAGTCAAATAAGATGTTGGTTTATAAACTGAACATTACCACCCATGAAGAATGTGCTCCCTTAAATAACTATATGAGACCAAATGGTCAACATTTACCCAAAAGCAAAGATGAGAAGGTGGAAATAATGAGAATGCTGATACACCATGAAAAATGTAACTGATGTCATGGAACAATCTGTACAAAAACTGTTCAGTGGGAAACTAATTTTCTGTGTAAACATTGAACTAAAACAGAATATCACAGAAGAGGTCTGAGGGGGAGGTAGCATGAGCAGAAAGCAAAGGGGGTGGGAGGGGGAAAAGGAACACATATTTACTTACTGAGCTGAGCCAAGCATTTCAGAGACCCTCTGATTGGCACCATTCATCATTCATTCAGCTAATACTTCTGAGACTGTGCCAAGGGCTGCCATATGTGTTGGGGATACTGAGTGATAAGGACAACATGGTGAGTCCCTGCTCCCAAGTACTCACAGGTTAGTGAGGAGACCTGGGTTCCAGTTGGCCTCTGCCACAGAGTCACTCTGAGGCTCCAGTGCCTCAGTTTCCACCCCTGTTCAAAAGGGTGAAGAACAAAGAAGGCAACAGATCTGTAAGCAGCCAGACGATTATAAGCACACACTCAGTGGGTCACGCAAGGGGAGGCCCCCTCATGAAGGTGGACGCACAAAATAGTGAGGACATGGAGACACTCACCAAGGACTGTACTGGGGAGAGGCCCGCTTCATGGGAGTGGAGCATCCAAGAGAGTGAGCCACACCCAGTCCTGGAATTTTACTGCCCATGTGCCAGAACTGCATCTGTTTCGCAGGTCAAATAACTGCATAACTGCCATTTATGAAGCAAAACCAACCAACTTGATGTTCTGATGTCAAGAAGATGGAATTCTAAAGGATTCCAAGAATCCAAAGTAAAAGTACCCATCTTGTAAGGCTGTTTTTGGGGAAGGATTAATGCATGTATTTGTGGCAGGTATAATCAGAGTATGTAGAGGCAGTTACAGAGAAAAGAGGTTAGAGTGTGGCAAGCTCCTAATCATCCCTCAAAACCCTGCCCTGGTGTCTTCTGTGAACCTTCCCTGAGCAAAGCAAACACAGCTATTTTAGCACCATGCCATCCTTCATTACTGCACGTATCACTCTGTGCTTTAATGATCCATTCCCTTCTCTAGACTTTGTTGTTGTTGTTGTTATTTGCCATGGAGTCGGCCCCGACTCATAGCGACCCCTCCTTGGGTTTCCGAGGCAGTATCACTACTGAAGTAGGAATGCCCAACCTTCCTTCCGAGGAGTGGCTGGTGGGTTTGAACTGCCAGCCTTCTGGTTAGCAATCGAGTGCCTTTATACTCCCTGAAATCAGGGACTCCAGAACGTTCTTCAAAAAATCTTGGTTTCCATAAACTGAACTGACTGAAGTGTGAAAGAAGGGTGGCTTTGATATGTTGAAACTCATCACAGTCTCCCGTTTTTCATTCTTCATTCATTGATCCCACAAAGATCTTCTGAGCTCCTATTCACTCTTGTTCAGTGACTCTTAGTCTGTGAATCTCAGACAAATTCATTATAATTTTGAATTTTACTTGGGAAACAGGAAGGAAATGAATAGATGGTGAAAGGAGTGTGTTAGGATGGTGAGATCCGGGGTGATAATATCCCTCTGAATTTTGTGACTTTCCTAATGTCATTATTTTACTTAAATCATGGAAAAATTCATACCCTACAGGAATGCTGTATTTGAAAACAAAGATTTTGCTCATTAGAAGAAAAGATCATGTCCCTCCCCTCTATCAAAGCTTACTTAGGGCCATAGTGTAAGTAGACAACAGGGATACCAACATCTGTGAGGCCTCACTGGGCCAACTACCTGCCTTCTCCTCCATTCCAAAAACTTCAAGCTGAATATTTCAGGAGCCTGTTTTGAATATTGGCATCATTCAGCACCACTGGCCTTCTCAGAGGAACCTGGTCACTTTCCAGAATGTTCCATACTGTCATATTCCCTAGCTTCCTGGAGTCCTGCTGCAAAACTGTAAAACAGAGAGGATGGGTGGGAATTAATTAGCCAAAGATCTCCCTGCTGGGGAAAAAAAATCCCCCACATGCTAAAACTGAGGCAATATGGCTTAGCCAAATAAAACCTGGTTTCATGGTGATTCTGTTGGCCCTGCCACCCTGCAGCCTTCTTGGATCTGGGCCCAGGAAGAAACGGGTCTACTGAAGATGTACCCAGCATACAGTGACAAACCAGCAAGGCCACATGACCCCAAGGTTAGGAGTCCCAGTCATAAATTAGCCAACTGTACACCCAGCCAGGGACACTCCCTTTGGAAACAAAACAAACAAGAAAAAGAGACGTTTATGCAAAAAAGGCTCCTGGGGTGGCACTGGGTAGATATAAATGCTTCTCAGCTGCCAAGATGGTCATAACTTTGCGGTGAGGTGGAGACCGAGGCCCTGGCAGAGGGGAACTCGAGCAGCTCTGATCCGCAATCTCCCAGCCAGCCCTGGGGAGGTGCCCGAGGAGTTATAGCTGGTCCTGAGGCTCTAGGTGGAGGTTTGTCCCCAGCCTGCTTGTCTGTCTCCAGCAGAACAGCCAACTGCAAAGGTGAGTGGTCCTTACTTCTGGGGAAAACTGGTGTTTTGAGAGGGTTTTGCTTCTTCCTGTCTGGGAAACTCAGAAAAGCTGAGAGAATTTTTTGCCCCTCGAGAGAAACTGGTGGAAAGTATAGGTACAGAAATACCAACGCAAGGTTTGGCCATTTGAACAGGGCATCATGTTCAGATGCTTCTCTGCAAATAAGTGCTGGGGTTATAATATATTACAAGGAAAACTTTCTGGAAATTTCAGACTAGAGAGGGAGGTGTATTGACTGGAATTTTACATGGATGATCTTATCCAGTCCTTATAACAATCCTCTTCCTGGAATAAATTCTGGGGAGATAGTTTTAGAGTCACACAGACCTGTGTTCAAATCCCAGCTCTACTAGTACTTGACTTTGATCAAGTTAACTGAAACATGTTTCTCCATCCACAAAATGGATTGAATAATACCTTGTTGTTGTTGTTGTTTGCCATCGAGTCGGCCCCGACTCATAGCGACCCCTCCTTGGGTTTCCAAGGCAGTATCACTAAGTAGTCGGGGCCGACTCGATGGCAAACAACAACAACAACAACAAGGTATTATTCAATCCATTTTGTGGATGGAGAAACACGTTTCAGTTAACTTGATCAAAGTCAAGTACTGGTAGAGCTGGGATTTGAACACAGGTCTGTGTGACTCTAAAACTCTTACATGGCCAACATCACCACGCTGCCTCCCAATGCCCAGGGTCTTGTCCAGAGAGGAGGTCTGCTGTCGGCAAGCTCAGATCAGAATTGGGTCCCTTCTTAGGTCTCCATTTTTTACCTTTTGTTAAAGGAGATGGTTTCAAATATTGAGAGTTGAGTGTATTTTTTCACAAATCATTATTTTCCCCCCTGAATCATAAGAAAGGAGCAGTGGTACTGCTGGCTTAGGATGAACAATAATAACAAAATCTTAAAAGAAAGGCAGCACAGCTTAAGTGCTTTCGAAAACCCCTCCAATAACAGGCAGAAAATCACAGTTGCCTATTAGTGATGTGGAGTTGCCGGGTAGTGCCGCTGGTTAACATGCTTGACCGCTAACTGAAAGGTTGGAAGCTTGAGTCTACCCAGAGACCCTGGGAAGAAAGGCTTGGTGATCTACTTTCAAAACATTCGCCATTGAAAAGTCTATGGAGCTCAATTCTATCCTGACACACATGGGGGCACCAGAAGTCAGTCAACTGCAGCCGGTGCTGGAAACAATGGTTGCAGGGACAGGCAAAGAGACTCATGTTTCATTGGTCACCTGATTTCCCACGGACCTTGCCTTAGGTGAGTGATGAAGTTTGCTCAGGGCCAGGTGGCCCAGCAGGTCCTACTAAGAAGGCTCATTGGGTCTATGTGTCTTTGTGGAATGGTGATGCTACAGGTCAGTATTTTTCAGTTGGACTGTTATGTGACTTTGAGAACTGAAGTCTACGCCCATAGGAGCCCTAAACCCAAACTGAGAATAGGAGCAGAGGTTGCAAAGCATTGATGAAGGGGCTGGTCAAGGCTTACATTAGCTTTGGTATTGATTCTTTAATAGGCTAACTATCTTGAGAAGGCCCAGTTCTGAAAACTCTTGCCCAAGCTTCCATAACAGTCTCTCCTTCCTGCTCCTCAGCCTCACAGAGAAAGTATCTGAGTCTGAATACAGATAAGTGACCTACATTGCAAAGCCACAAAGATGACCTGTCCCTGGAAGTTTATGTTCAAGGCCAAATCTTCCCAGTATGACTTGACTGAGCAAAAGGACATCAACAACAATGTGGGGAAAGCCATCTGGCCAACTTCCAGGTAAGGTTTTCTCTGCTGCCACTTCCTGCTCCCCTTACCTCGACTTCCCTTCCTCCCTCTGCACCTTTGACTCTCTGCTCCTGGCTTCTCACCTGAGGGCTCATCTCCCCACTTGCTCCTGGTTGTCGCTGTTGGAGTTCAATGCAGCCAGTATTTATTGCACATCTCACTGTGCATGGCACTATGTGAAGAAGGAAGGGACATGGCACAGTCCTGGCTTTAATCTCTGGGGAAGAATGTGGGCAGAGACTTGATGTGAGAATGGGAAGCTGTAGGGCCTGTTGGTTAGAACCTGAATGTGATCCTGGCTTCTTTCCTGATTCGCCAGTGTCCACACTTCACCAGTTGCTAGATATTCTGAGCTTGGTGAAGAGGACCAGAATGTGACAGAAAAAAAACCAGATTTGAACCCTGTGCTATGCCTCACTAGCCGACCTTGTGTTTTCTCTCACTGGCTGTGTAACCGGGCGTGAGTTACCCTCTCTGAGCTTCAGATGTTCTCATCTGCAGTATGGGAACCCCAAAGGTACCCATTTTGTGGTATGTTGAGGATTAAATGTGAGTGTTATATAAAGCAACTAGCAGAATGCCTGGCACTCTAGGCACTGGGTAAATGTTAGCATTTATTATACTCTCTTGAGCATCCACTCC